GAGAGGATTACCTGAGTCTCGGGTCGGAGATTAGCCTGGGCAACTTAGTGAGACCTCGTCTTTATAATAAATCAAAAAACTAGGCAGGTATGGTGGCGCATACCTGTAGTTCCAGCTACTTGGAAAGCTGAGGCAGAAGGATTGCCTGAGCCCAGCAGGCCGAGGGTGTGGTGGCGGTCAGTGTGCCACTGCACTCCAGCCTGGGCAACAAGTGAGACTCCAACTCAGAAAAACAAAACAAAACAAGACATCGTTGTTACCATCACAGTAAACTTTCACCCGGTTTTCAAATTAGGTGTTTTGCAAAGTATTATGGTTTTAAATAAGACTAATAGCATAATAAATAATAGCATAAGAATAATAACGATATTAATTTTGTTTGTGCCTGGACTCCATCCAGTTGGAGACAAACATAAGGTCTTAGGAAGGGGGCCTTATAGCCGGTGCTAGTTCTCATCCGCCAGCCTCTCCCGGCCCAGACCACGCGGGTCCCGCTTGCTGCGAAAGCGTTTCTGTGTCCCTTTCTGCCCAGGCGGCTGCCGGTCTTTCCAGGAACCAGCCAGGAGGTGCTCCCGCCAGGTGGTCTCCGTACGAGCTTGCCGCTCGCCCTTCCCTTGCTCCCCAAGACCTCCAAGTCCCCCCAAATTCCCGGGAGACCGCCCTCCAGGACCTCTTAATGCAGTTACCAGATTGAGAGACCGATCAGGAACGCCCTTGGCCCACAGATCAGCTAGTTTACCTTATTAGAGAGAAACGCACTCTTGGAAGTAGTAACATGGGCCGGTCCTTGGTCTGAGAAACGGGCGCATAACATTGCTGTTCTTTCTGCAAGGGCCAGGACCGAAATCCAGCTTCCGCCTGAAGGTTTGAGCCCTCCAGCGGCACTCCGCTCGCTCGCACACCTTGAGCTAGGAGAAAAGCGACAGGAGCGCAGCACTGGGTGCCCCCCTCCCTGCAGAGTCTGGGGCGGGGCTCAAGGAGATGGCCCAGAGCCAGTGGCTCCCCACCTCTTGGGGTGAAGGCTGGAGGGAGATCTCCTCTGAGCAGCAGCCCCAGGCCTCCTCGCCTCCCCCCCAACCTCGGAGTCTCCCAGCGGGTCTCCTGGGCGCGGTGGCCCTTCCTCCACCTGGCCCCCTCCCCCTTTCCCAAGGACAAAGGTCTCCCCTCTTCCCCTTCATCTTCCTCCCTCTTCCCATAAAGCGTTTAGGAAAGTCGGGGCGGGGGTGGTGGAGACCACCAGGTTGGAACTGCAAGTTCAATGGCAAAGTTCCTGACCCTCCCCCAGGCTGAACGCCAGCAGTCGCTGCCTCCCCCCCCCATTATTCTGGGGCGATTGAACTCTTTTGCTGCCTCCGGTCCCCCTCCCATTTAGGGGGGCAGTTGAGGGGAGGGGGGAATGGTGGAATTCTTTCCTTCTCGTCCGACCCCTCCGTTCTCCTCCCCCCTTCTACATTGAACTAACTGGTAGCGGAGAAAGGAGAGAAGGCTGGCATCGATTCCCCATTGGATGTTTTAAATCTCTCTCCAGGCCCTGGCCAGCGCAGGGGGAGGGGCGGGGTGTCCCGTCCTCGGGCCCGAGGCCGGGGGCCGCTCCGGGGCTGGCTCCCCTCTTTCCTGGAGCGCGACTGTTCAAGTGGGTGAGCATGGTACACGGTTCTTTCGAAATCAAGGACACCTCCTCCTGCCGCCGCCTCCGCAGCAGTCGCTCCGCGCTTTATTGCAAGTTTACGGTAACGACTTCATTTATTTAATTCGCGATGGCAGCTCTGGGGGGGTTTCTATTAGCACGGGGGTGGGGCCCAGAGTTTCCCCCGAAGGAAACCTAATTAAAGTGCAGCACTTAGGACCTTGAATAAAACTTTAATGAAGCGGGGGAGGGGAGCCGGCGGGGAGGGAAGTCGGCTCCGGGCTGGGGGAGGGGAGCCGGCGCCGCTCCCCAGAACTGGGGGGC